CACAGGAAGAGTTAGATCTCATAGATAGAGATGACGAACAAAAGTTTTTGACAAGTGCTGATTATCTTGCAACCAGTGGCATGCCTAGTTTGATTTCTAATATGAAGAGTGCAGTGAAAGAAGTTCTTAAGGGGTACATTCCATTATCAAAAATCTTTCCCTTGTTTCCCATCCTCTAATATAGCTTTTCTGGTGCGATAAATGCCAATGAAGATCGTTATACTTTACTGATGTATAGCAAAATCTAATGATGTGTGTTTGATTGCAGCAAGCAGTTAAAGGATGTTTTAACCACAAGAACTCTCCAAGAAACCGTGATCCGGATTCTCGATGTGTTTATGAGCACTGGAAGTCCACATCACTGGGTAGATTATTTAATGATGGCCCAAGACACAACAATGCTTCCAAGAGACAACACCACTGATGTTTCCTCTTCTTATGCAACTGTCTCCAAGTTTCATCAACTCATAACCGAGACACGGGAAGTACTCACAAGGTAAAATACATCCTTGTTTTTGCGTAGTGCTCATAGCAAGAAAAGAAGATGTTTCTTTTGTTGCAGTCATGTAAAGATTTCTTGGTCTCTATTTTTCTTGTTGCAGCACTGATTTTACAAATGTAGCAGAGATCTCACTCAAGTCTTGTACCGTTACATTAGTTGAGGAGATTGAAAAGCTGGCCGGTTTGGCCACGGGGATGCAATTGGCTAAGCTATTACCACAGATTGAGAAGACAATACCGGAGATTTCAGCTAAACCGGACAAAAACCGGTTCTTGCAACTCATCCGAGATTTGCCTGAAGTTCAACTCTTTTTCACTCTTTTATACGCAAACATGCCTCAGTAATACGCAAATTGCTAAATTTATTGTTAATTTTACTTTATTAAACAAATTATTTCAAATTAGTAAAAAAAGCATTGTTCCATATGTAACAAAACATTTGATATTGCACTCTTTAAAGAAACCATTAATATTGGCACAAAATAAGCATATATTACATTTCTAGTTGCCCTGAAAAAACCAGGCCCAATGGATCCGGGTCGGGTCTACTAGACCGGTAAATACTCTTTTTGTTTTTTCAATTGGGCTC